TTTTCTACTTTATTGTTTATAAGATAAAATAGCCTAATGGCATTTTTTGTCTTGTTTTTATAAACTTGTCATGTGATCCATCTAGGCTTACTGGTTCTGAAAGCAAAAAAGTGATGGACAGAAAGTCATATCTAAAGTTGGGCATAGCTTTATTCAGACAAGTAAAGTTTTAGCTGATAAGTAAGATAAAGCACTATTTATTAACATTTAGTATTTCCTAGTTAACATTTTAGGGTATATTATTAATAGTAAGAGCAAGGGTAAGAGCTGTCTATGATCTTGAGCCCATCTTGACTTCCCTATATCTTATTTGTAAAATGAAGAGGAAAATACTAGTACCTATGGGAAAGGGTTGTTTATACATTAAATGGCGTAGTGGGCAAAGATCTATGAATGGCTAATAAGCACTTAAATGGATGCTAAATATTTTTAGCTATCAGGGAAATACAATTAGGACCCAGTGGTATATCACTACACACTAGAATAGCTAAAGTTAAAGACTAGAGATAATAAACGTTGCCAAGGATGTGGCACAACCAGTACTCATGTACTGTTGAAGGGAGTGTAAATAATATAAGCACTGTAGGACTAGATCTGGCTATTTCTTATAAATCTGTACACTCAGAAATTCTAATAGGTGGAACCTCTACTACACCTATAGTAAAGTATAATATTAATGATAGAATCTAGGTAGTGACTATATATAATGCGTTTTCAACTTTTTTGTGTATTTGAAAATCTCCGTAATGTTGGGAAAACAAAGAATCTTTTATTCCAAGATTTAAAAAAATATGTAGTTACTAATCGAAACTTTTAAAAATGTTTTAAATACATTCACACGTATAAGTGAAACAATCTTGTCCCATATTCTATTTTATCACCATGTGATAAAATAACACAGATATGCTAATGTCCAAAACAGTATGTCATAACATTCACAGTCCAGATCTTTCATGAACATATTACACCATTTCAGTAGATTTCTAAATGGGTTTTATTTGAGAAGCTCTCTCTTTGTTAGCTTCTAAGACCTCCTGCTATCATTTGAGGCTGGTTTTGCGCAGAGGATGAAAGAACTTTCCCCTTCTTTTTTGTTTTGATATACCAGAAAAAGAGAAATCAGAAATAAACACGTGAAAATTTATCTCACCATAAGAAGAAAACATATGGTTTTCCTTTTTCCTTTCTAGGTGGTGGAGCTATTGTTAGCTCGAGGAGCAAATAAAGAGCACAGGAATGTTTCTGATTACACGCCTTTAAGCCTGGCTGCTTCTGGTGGCTATGTGAACATCATCAAAATATTACTAAATGCAGGAGCCGAGATTAATTCTAGGCAAGTTTTTTTTTCTTTCTATAAGGCCTTTCAGAGTGTAAGTAAGAATATTATGTTATTTAGTTATTTTTAGAACACCTTTTATGATACCATATTTAGTAAATTCATTCATTATACATTTAGAATCCAGTATGTTAGAGATTTTTGAGATTACTATATTCCTTATTATTAAATGTAAACACATCTTTCTTAGGCGTTTTTATTAAGCAGGCCAATACATGCTTTAAGATGGAAAGTCCACCCTAATAATAACTTCATAACTTAATCACCTAGCTCAAATCATTATGTTGAATGAAATACAGAAAATATTCTAGTAAAAGACTTTTAATGAAGTCTTCGTAGTATCTCAAAGATTTACTAGGGCTGAAAAGAATGGTTATTTTAAATAACCCTGCAAAATAAAGAATCTTACATTAGGATTCTATATCATCATCTAATTTTTCTGGGTCATTTAAAATGTATGTTTTTCCTTTTGTTCTCCCCATATCTGTACCCCAGAACTGGTAGCAAATTGGGCATTTCTCCTCTGATGTTAGCAGCTATGAATGGGCATACAGCTGCCGTTAAGCTCCTGTTAGACATGGGCTCTGACATAAATGCTCAAATAGAAACCAATCGGAACACTGCCCTTACCTTAGCCTGCTTCCAAGGAAGAACTGAAGTGGTTAGTCTTCTGCTTGATAGAAAAGCAAATGTTGAACACAGAGCTAAGGTAAGAAAAAGTCTGAGATTCACACATGGATTTATTGCTTTGATATTTAAGGTGTATAGTAGCAACCTGCTAATTATAATTTTGGTACTTTCTAGTAACATTTATCTCCTACCTACATATTCTGTCAGAAATCATTCTGTATAACTCACTCAAGCATTAACTCTTGAAAATACCTCAGCAATACGTTTTTACAGACAATAATGCCATTAGGGTTATCCACTGAAAAAGTTGTACTATTTTGAAAGGGAAGGCAGGGGAACATCTATTGAGTGTCGCTTATATGCCAAGTGCTTGCATCTTATAGAACTTTTTTTTAAGAATACTATTGAGATCAGGTAGAATTATTTTCTTTAATAGATGAGACTAACTCAAAGAGGCTAACAAGTGTCAGTGATGAAATTCAGTTGTGCTTTTTAACAACTGTACCATATTGCTTCCTCAGATTGTTATTCTTTAACATTTTAGCTCTTTCCAGTCTCTTATGTGTTGTTTTTTTATTTTCCATTAAACCTAGACTGGCCTTACACCACTAATGGAAGCTGCCTCTGGTGGATATGCAGAGGTGGGCCGAGTTCTTTTGGATAAAGGTGCTGATGTTAATGCCCCTCCAGTTCCCTCCTCGAGAGATACAGCTTTAACCATAGCAGCAGATAAAGGGCATTATAAATTCTGTGAGCTTCTGATTGGCAGGTATGCTATTACTCTACTGTTCATATATGAACACAAGTGTTACTAGTGATTACCATTCTCTCTGGGCAATTGTACGATTAAAAAGTTAAATGTGGGCCAGGTGCAGTGGCTCACGCCTGTAGTACCAACACTTTTGGGAGGCCAAGGTGGAGGATTGCTTGAGCCCAGGAGTTTTAGACCAACCTGGGAAACATAACAAAACCCTGTCTCTACAAAAAATTAAAAGGAAAAAAAAAAAAGGCATGGTGGTGCGTGCCTGTAGTCCCAGCTACTTGGGAAGCTGAGGCCGGAGGATTGCTTGAGCCCCGGACTTTGAGGTTACAGTGAGCTATGATTGGGCCACTGCTGGGGTGGCAGAAGGAGACTCAGTCTCTTTAAAAAACAAAAACAAACAAATCAAACATGGTTACTTCTCCTTCTATAATCTATAAGTCTTTTTTTCCCAAATCTGCTTGTTGTTTTCCAACCATCCAGAGCTATGCTGTATTGTCCAATCTGTTTCAGTGCATCCTAAAAATAGTTTTCTTTATTATCCGCATACACTTTTAAAGTCCTACAACAATTACCTATTTGAACATCCAGCTGTTGTCATCCATACTCACATCTCTCATACAATTTGAGTTTTACAAAGAGTATTAGTCCAAGTCCTAAAAGTCTGGCAGCGATCTAAGACTTCATTGTTGATTTTCTTGTTCTTTACAGTAATTTAGGCTTTTGGGTGATAGTTATGGAACTGTTCAAGGTGTCAGACAGGATACAGGATAGTTTCTACTTTGTTAGTTAGAAGTTATCTACCAGTCTTCCAAAGATGCTTGTCTGCTTAACTGGATTTCCTATAGTCTTAAAGACCTTTGTATGGTATCCTAAGCAGTAGTATTTGGTAGTAACTGCAATTAACTATTATTCACCCTGAATCTTCTCATCTACCATTTTGCCTACTGAATGCTAAACCTGCATGTTATTCTTAGATTTGTCTTTTTCTGAAGCTACGTACTTCAGATACAGATTGAGCATCCCTAATCTAAAAAGCTCCAAAATCCCAAACGTTTTGAGCACTGACATGATGCTCAAAGGAAAAGCCTACTGGAGCATTTCAGAGTCTGGACTTCGGATTAGGGATGCTCAACCTGTACACCAATATAAATCATCTGAAACAAATACGGTTGCCTCATAGGATGCTGTTTTGTGTAGTATAATTCTGAGAGAAAGACATTCTAGTCCTCAAACATTAAAAACAATTTTTATCTTTACAGAATATTTTCACATGATAATAGTTGATTTTTATTACCTATATTATTTCATTTTATTTAAGACAGTGCTGACTATGTCATTCGTTTTTAGGGGTGCTCATATTGATGTACGTAACAAGAAGGGGAACACTCCATTGTGGCTAGCAGCAAATGGTGGACACCTCGATGTGGTTCAGTTACTGGTGCAAGCAGGTGCAGATGTTGATGCAGCAGATAACCGCAAGATAACTCCTCTTATGGCAGCATTTAGAAAGGTATAAGTCTTTCATCCTCATTTATGTGGGTGTTTTTCACTTACTCTAAGAAGTATGTGGTTTCATGATCACCAAAGACTCTCATTTTGTGATCTAGCAGCTATGATGAAAGCAGTAATATAACATGCAAGTAATTAGTCTGGCAACACTGAAAGGTAGATAGATACAGGTATTGCAGATAAGCCATTATTATTAACCATATTGGACATCAGAGTTAAGTAACTCCAAAAGCTGTTCTAGGCTGGGCGTGGTGGCTCATGCCTATAATCCTAGCACTCTGAGAGGCCGAGGCGGGAGGATTGCTCAAGGTCAGTAGTTCGAGACCAGCCTGAGCAAGAGCAAGACCCTGTCTCTACTAAAAATAGAAAGATATTAGATGGACAACTAGAAATAGAAAAAATTAGCCGGGCATGGTGGCTCATGCCTGTAGTCCCAGGACCTCAGGAGGCTGAGGCAGGAGGATTGCTTGAGCCCAGGAGTTTGAAGTTGCTGTGAGCTAGGCTGACATCACAGCACTCTAGCTCAGGCAACAGAGCAAGACTGTGTCTCACGAAAAAAAAACAAGAGCTGTTGTATGTATTATTTTCAAAATCTATTTACAGTCTTAATCTTTCACAAAGTGTAAGTCCAATTAAGCATAACTGATTGGAGGTACTTACTAATTATCCTCAATATTTGTTGGTAGATGAGTATTTTTTGTATTAACACTACAGAGAAAAATATAACTTAAATTGCTTTATTTTAATAATTGATTTTAAATACTAGGAATAAAGGAAGTATATAATAAAAACCTAGCTACCAGTATTTTAAATGACTGAAAATCAGGTATACTACGTTGAGCAGTAGAAATACAAATTTTGTGAAAGCAGAAGAAACTTTCTTTCTGTACATTAGCACAGTGCTTGTGTAAGTAATTTGATGGTTGGTTGGTAATACTTCCTTGATTTCTTAAATGCAATTTTAATTTGTTACTGGTAAAATCAGGTTACTGTTTCAGGGGTTGTAATTTTGAGTTCTGTCATTTGGAAATATGTAAGTAAAATCCACTGTAAATTCTAAAATGTTGTAAAATTTTAATATATAAA